ACTCTGGCTGCTAGGACTATAAACTATTTCTGTCCTTGGGTAAGTGCCAGAGATTGCTTATGCCTGCCCCTTTTGAGCGGTCCTTTCCATGGCCTAGATAGTTTCTACACACACCCACCCCCCCACCCCCGATCAAATCAGTACTCAACTGAGATTCAAAAAGGGTTCTACAGATCTCCAGAGCTCTCTGTAGCTCTCTTCACTTCTGTACCCTACCCTATAAACTCTAGCCACCTTGGCTTCCTTAAGTCCCAACTCCATCTCCTAATTCAGAGACTGGGTTTCCTCTCCCTGAGCTGTGGCTGGGGAAACTCTCTTGTGCAGTAAGCTGGGGCAATCATTAAGATTCATTTCTTTTGTTTTCCCTCTCTCAGCGTTTACTGTCCTTCACAGCATAATGTCCAATATCTGAAAACTGTTGTTTCATATACTTTTCTGGCTTTTTAGTTAAGGAAGGTAGGATGGTAAATCTAGTCTCTACTACTGCATTTTGGCTAGAAACAGAAGTGAGGGGGTTGCAAGTTTTTAAGATCCTTTCTTCAGTATACCTCATTGTCCCTTACACCAAGTTAGATACAGAAGTCAGTATACTCTCAAGCCTGAGAAATTATTTACAAAATAAAATATAGAGGATATGCCAGGGTGACACTTCCAACACACACCCTTCCTCCTCATAAGCTGGATTGGCTTATCTCAGGGGACTGCTTATTATATAGGTTACTTAATAGCCTGAAGATATATCTAAAATGGTAAGTTTAGGAACAGCCATTGAAAATCTTGGACAGTAAAAAAAATCACTGTGGATTTTAAAAAACGATTTGGAAAAGCTTAAAATTTACTTGAGGAACAAAAGCTATAAAAACCTATACTGGGTTGGTCCAAGTGCAGTGGTGTTTACAACTAATTGATCACAACCAGTTACAGATTCCTTTGTTCCTTCCCCACTCCCACTGCTTCACTGGAGTAGCCTTAAAAAACAAAACAAAACAAAAAAACAACTATACTGAAGAATAATTAAAAAGTAAGCAGGGAAGATTTAGAGAATTACTCTTTTTCCTCCCATATTTTAAAAATATTTAATCTTAATTTCTCTCTTTTTTGAGACGGAGTGTGGCTCTGTTGTCTGGGATAGAGTGCTGTGGTATCAGCCTAGTTCACAGCAAACCTCAAACTTCTGGGCTCATGCAATCCTCCTGCCTCAGCCTCCCGAGTAGCTGGGACTATAGGTGTGTACCACCAGCTCAGCTAGTTTTTTCTATTTTTAGTAGAGATGGGGTCTTACTCTTGCTCATGCTGGTCTCAACGCCTAAGCTCAAGAGATCCTCCTACTGCAGCCTGCCAGAATGCTAGGATTATAGGTGTGAGCCACCACTCTGGGCCCCTTCTATTTTTCAAAATAGTCCTACCGTCCTTCTTTTTGAATAAATACTATGACCTTAGATCTACTTCATGATCTAAACTTATTTTCTTCTTAAGAGGCCTCTACCACTATGGTCCTAAACCCCAGTCTGTGTCCTGTTTGGAATAGGTGACATATCACCCACCTGAGCTCCGCACACCTCCCCCATCCCCTTTGGAAAAATTGTCTCCCATGAAACTGATGAACCAGGACACACAGCATGAGGTGAGTGGCAGCTTCATTTATATATACAGCTGCTCCCCATTGCGCACATCCGCCCCTGCCCCTGTCTGTGGAAAAATTGTCCATGAAACCAGTTCAAGGTTGGGGATCACTGGTCTATCACATACTATCTCAGAGGTTACAAACGACCTCTTCTGGTCATATCCAATGTCTTTTCCCCTTAATGGTCTTCATTCCTCTTCCCAGCCAACAACATCTGACTGTTAATCTTTGAAATCTCCTTGTAGATTGGCTTCCATATCCCTTTTGCCTATGTTGTTTGCCTTCATTTCTGACCATTTCCTCTTAGTCTTTCTTTTCTGGCTATCAATTACCTGCTGCAGGAGAAGGCAAACTGTGACCTATGGGCTAAATCCAGCTCACTCTCTGCTTCTGTATTGCCTGCAAGCTAAGAATGGCTTTTACAGATGAACATTTGAAATCAATTTGATGACAGAGAATGCTTTTAACCCCAATTAAGTAAAATGTTATCCACAATCCCAAATAAACTCATCCTTCTTATTAGAAGATCTATATTAAATTTTGTTCAGTTATATTTTGAATATTAGTGGTAAAAATTTGTGGGAATTAATTTTCTCCATGTCATGTAAATACCAAAATAGTACCCACGAATTTGTATCTTGGCCCACAAAAGTTAAAATATTTCTTATTTGGACTATTAAGAAAACGTTTGCTGACCTTAGATCTAGTAGGTATTTTAAGTAAATGGCATCCAAATTATAATTATAAGCACAGAAGATAACTCACATGTTCTCACTCATATGTGGGAGATAAATATTAAAAACAACTGATCTCATGGAAACAGAGTAGAATGTTATCAGGGGCTGGGAATGATATCGGCAGGGGGAATAAAGTGGTGATGGTTAATGATGCAAAAATATAGCTAGACAGAATGAACAGTATTTGATAGCACAACAAAGTGACTATAATCAATAACAAGTTAGGGTATTCTTTAAAATACCCAAGAGTGGAACTGGAAGCTTCTAACATAAAGAAATGTCAAATGCCTAAGGTGATGGACACTCCACTTATCCTGATTTGATTAATTCACATTGTATGCCTATATCAAAACATCATATGTACCCTATAAAGGTATACAACTATAATATTAGGAACCCATAATGATTAAAAATTAAAAGATAAAAAAACCCAAAATGATAAAATTTTATATCCACTACAGAAGAAATGAATGTGAAAAGACAGTATTTTAGCAGTATAAGTAACTTTTTTCTTTTGCATTTTAGTTATTCAACATTTATGTATTTCTTCTATTCGGTTAATGTTACCAAATCACACATAGGTTATCAGTACAGGTATGCTGTAGAGTATATTGGTCTGCTAATTTTTAAAATAATTTGGCTGGGCGTGGTAGCTCATGCCTGTAATCCTAGCACTCTGGGAGGCCGAGGTTGGCGGATTGCTCGAGATCAGGAGTTCGAAACCAGCCTGATCAAGAGCGAGACCCCGTCTCTACTATAAATAGAAAGAAATTAATTGGCCAACTAATATAAATAGAAAAAATTAGCCGGGCATGGTGGCCTGTAGCCTGTAGTCCCAGCTACTCGGGAGGCTGAGGCAGTAGGATTGCTTGAGCCCAGGAGTTTGAGGTTGCTGTGAGCTAGGCTGACGCCACGGCACTCACTCTAGCCTGGGCAACAAAGTGAGACTCTGTCTTAAAAAACCAAAAAAATAAATAATTTTATTGTGGCAAGAGCAAGTAACATGAGATCTACTTCAGCAGATTTTTAAGTGTACAATACAGTATTGTTATCTATAGGCACATTGTTGAAGAGCAGATTTTTAGAATTTATTCATCTCTCCTAACTGAAACTGTATTCCTCACTACATTTTACTTCTCTAAGCTGGTGTTAATTACTTCCTTGATAACAGTAACAGAATAGAAATGTCATTAAAAGATATGGCTCACATTGTCAGACTTTATTACCAAAAATTATTTCAAAGGATGGCTAAGGAAAGCAAAAAACTAAAAATGCAAAACTAGAAGCTTAGGAGAAACAAAATGAATCCAGGAGAGGTACTGTAGGACAAAGAGGACACTAGAATACTAGGATTCAAAATGAGGAAAAACAGGCTGTGGAGAGGAAAAAGAGAAAGACTTAAAGGAAGGTTTTTCATTTCGTAATTTCATAAAGATTCTGTGAAATATTTTTTTAAGAGTTCTAAAAATAAACGTTACAGTCTTTGAAGTTCCTCTCTATGTATGTTAGCCCTTTAAGATTACAGATCAAAGATAAAGGTATATTATCCCTTTGAGTTTCAAGATAAAAATGGGGAAAATGAAAGGTAAAATAGGAGAAAAACCACTAAAAATGAGTATTTTGAAGATACCCAACTCATTTACCACTTTTGAAGACTCTGCAGGTATCAAATTAATTTTCTCTTCATCATAAAGACAGAAAATTCTCATGATGAGCTGTAAAACTAGTATCCTTGACCAGTACACATTGCTTGTTGAAAGTGACAGGACATGTGACTTATATCAGGCTGTGATCAATCTTCATAGTGATACATAACAACACAATCTAATCCAAACACAAAGGTGCCTCAGTGATAATTGAAAGGTGCACTGAAAGTAAAAATAATTCAAATTTCTACTTTTCTACACAGGAGCCTCTGCTAGAAAACGAGGTTGCTAAGCAACCCAAGCTAAGTAAGACTTTTTTCAAAACAAAGATTCACTTAGTGTTCTTAGTTCTTATAATGGAGTGAAGGCTATTAGAATCCATTTAGTATCTAAAACATAAGACTGTTTAGCTTAGGACCCTGTAGCTTAGAGTTTAAGATAACCTTTTCACCTAACAAATAGAGATTTATTAACTTGTTGATATATAGTAATCTACACTGTTTTGTATCAGAACATTGGGTTTTTGATGAAAATTCAATTAACAGTGACAAACTTGATGACTTTTCTCCAAATGTGTAAAGTATTACCAGGCTACTGCTACTTATGGACAGGTGAAGGCATGGATGAAAGCAAAACTAGAGGGCTGGTCAGTGTTGGTCCCATTAGGTGCTTGGTGCCCATTAGGATCACCTGGAGGCTGTTAATAAATAATGATGTTCAGGTTTAAGAGATCAGATCCAGGCTAATTAAATCAGAATATATAGGGCTAGGGATATGACTTTTTTTTTTTTTTTTAAATACAGGGTCTCAGTCACCTAGGCCAAAGTGCAGTGGCATGATCATAGCTTACTGTAACCTTGAACTCCTAGACTCAAGTGATCCTCCTGCCTCAGACTCCAAGTAGCTGGGACTACAGCTGCACACCACCATGCCTGTCTAATGTATTTTTTCTAGAGACAGGGGTCTTGTTATGTTGCGCAGGCTGGTCTTGAACTCCTCCTGACCTCAAACAATCCTTCTGCCCTGGACTCCCAAAGTGCTGGGTTTACAGGCATGAGCCAACCACACCTGACCCATGACTGGTATGTTTTAAGAACTCCACAGGCCATTATAACATGCTCCCAAGATTAAGAATTACTTTCAGATGTTATATTAATAAGGCAGGGTGCTAGAAATCAAGAAATTAAGAGTTCAGGCCATAAGTACAATTAATTCTATGGTTAACCTTTTCTGTGTTTCATAGCATCTACATATAAACCAAAAATAAACACATATCCTTTTTAGAAGGACACTGTGAAGACAAATAAGGTTCTAGAAATGTAAAAATCTGGGGCAGAAAAAAATCTGGAAAAAAAGTTTAATTTGGGCCGGGCGCAGTGGCTCACGCCTGTAATCCTAGCTCTCTGGGAGGCCGAGGCGGGCGGATTGCTCGAGGTCGGGAGTTCGAAACCAGCCTGAGCAAGAGCGAGACCCCGTCTCTACTATAAATAGAAAGAAACTAATTGGCCAACTAATATATATAGAAAAAATTAGCTGGGCATGGTGGCGCATGCCTGTAGTCCCAGCTCCTTGGGAGGCTGAGACAGAAGGATCGCTTGAGCCCAGGAGTTTGAGGTTGCTGTGAGCTAGGCTGACGCCACGGCACTCACTCTAGCCTAGGCAACAAAGCGAGACTCTGTTTAAAAAAAAAAAAAAAAAAAAAAAAAAAGTTTAATTTGCATTTCTAAGCTTTCTGTAGTAAAAGCACCATTTTAGAAGGAATAAATAAATCTGAAGGTAAAGAAAATGTTGACCAGGTCAATACAGCTCATATTCTAATGCTAAGGTTACATATCATCAGGTTAGAAAACTGCTTAGTGTCTAGACTTATATTTTGTTCCTCATTACTTTCAAATTAGCCCTTCCTTATATTCATCTTGCATTATTTTCTGTTTCATATTCACAAATTTAGCTATCCATAAAAACTGTAGCTACCTAAGGACAAGACTATGTTCCATCTTTCTTCCAAACATAAATATATTTAAATATGTATTTTCATGCTGGATTGAGTCTGGCATTAGAGAGGAAAGGCAAACATTTTAGTGTTCTGAAAAATATAGGCTATTGACTTACAAATGTTAGCCCATTCACTGGAACACCATGCTTTAGTAAGATTTAGCAGGCTTTAGCAATGGAAGTGACTAAAACCCAGTAACAATATGAACTCTAATATTGTTAATGGATTCTGCATACCTTTATAGTGCCTTTACAGTGTCAGACACAAAATACCTTTACTGTGGCATACCTTTACAGTGTCAGACACAAAATTCAATCAATTCTCGGTACTTGCAGCAGTTACACTCTAAAAAGTTGCACATACATTGAAGCAGCAAATACTGAACCATTGCCTCTAGGGGAAATACAGAGTTAGGTTCCTGCAAGCCTCAAATCAGTATTTTGCCAGCTGATCAATATATAACCTTTTTATGTATGTTTAAAGATATCTCATTAATATATATTTCCTATAATAGCTAATTATATGTAGTATTTCTTGATCATAAAACACTATTTGAGAAGTGTTTAACATTTTCCTGATCTTTGGTAATATGACTGTACATTTCTTTGGCTTTAGTCTCTTAACAATGCTGTCCACTATGCTTTTTGAAAACTTTAGCATTCATCTCATGAATTCACAAATTTAGCCACTTGTCCATCTTTTCTCCATAACTTCATCATACATTCTAGATGTTACTTTAGGACTTTCCAGAGTGCCCTCACATAAACATCTGTAAATTTTCTCTTCCTTTTTCTGGATGCACCCTATTGTTGAGTCCATTAACAATGAACTGATGGGCAATAGCAATATAAGACCTGGAACACACACACCAGAGCCTTCTTGTGCTTGGGAACATAAGACAGAAATTCAGCATTATGCTAGGGGGCCATTTTAAACAAACAGCACAAAGATGTGAACAAAGTTAAGTAAGACTCTGAAAAGGATACTTGGTTACAATATGAGAACTGAAATAGGGAAGCAGAGGGTCCTGTTTGAGCTCAGGTGGGAACTGTCTCAAATTTTTTGCCATTCTGATCATGTACACAAATGACGAGAAAGTGCTGCAGGTATAAATTTAGAGTTACAAATAAATTTTAACAAATAGACAAATCTGCAAATAGAAAATCCACAAATAATGATCTGCTATACATACTTTTCTTTATGTAACTGTGAAGAATTAATGTGATGTATTTTTCATTTCTCAGCTGAGTGTTTTTGTAAAAACATAGACTTCAAATTCAGTGAGGTAAACAAAAGGATAATTTTTTTAAATCCAAAAAAGGTGTCTTTGAAGAAGTATTGGTTTGGCACACCAGAAAAGAACCAAGATGTTATTCAGATTACACAGAAAACACAGTAAACTAATGGTATTTTATGGTTTCTTCCAGCTTTCATATTTGTTTTTTGGAGGAAGTGTCCAGTCACCACAATGATCCAGAATAGAGCACAGAACAAGGTAAGTACTAAAGGGATATGAAATATTAAAACAGATGTCACAAATTCCTTGAAGACACAATTTTTTTTTATTGTGGTAAGAATAATTAACATGAGATGTACTCTCTTAACAAAATTTGTTAAGTATCATTAATTATAGGCACAATGTTGTACAGATTTCTAGAACTTACTCATCTCGCATAAATGAAATGTTATATGCACTGAATAGTACTCCCCATTTCCTCTTCTTCTCAGCTCCTGGCAACTGCCACTCTACTCTCTCCTTTAATGAGTTTGACTATTTTACACTTGATCTTAGCCAAAAGGCCAAGAAGTGATAGAGTTTGACTATTTTAGAAACCTCACACAAATGGAATAAGGGAGTATTTGTGCATTCATGACCAGTGTATTTCACTTAGCATAATGTCCTCAAGTTCATCATGTTGTTACATATTGCAGGATTTCCTTCTTTTTAAAGGCTGAATAACGTCCCACTGTAATATACGTACACCACATTTTCTTTATCCCTTCATCCATCAATGGACATTTAGGTTGTTTCTACCTCTTGGCTATCATGAATAATGCTGTAATGAACATGGGAGTGCAAATATCTTGAGATCATGATTTCAATTATCCTGGAGACATAACGAAAGTATTTAGGATTGCTGGATCAAATGATAATTCTAATTTTTTGAGCAATCCCTATACTGTTTTCCTTAGTGGCTGTAGCATTTTACATTGCCACCCATAGTATACAAGGGTTCTTTTTTTCTACATCCTTGCCAATACTTACTATCTTTTGTTTTTTTTTTTGATAATAGCCTTTCTAGCAGGTATGAATTGATGTCTCATTGTGATTTTCATTTGGATTCCTCTGATTATTAGTAATGTCCAGCATCTTTTCATATACCTGCTGGCCATTTGTATGTCTTCTTTGGAGAAATTTCTATTCAAGTCCTTTGCCCATTTTTTGGTCTGGTTACTTGTTTTACTGCTATTGAATTATAGGAATTCCTTATATATTTTGAATATCAGATATATAGCTTGAAAATTTGTGATTTCAATACACAAAGTAATGGACACATAATTCCTTACACCAGTCCTATGAGGTATTATTCCTATCTTACAAATAAGAAAACCAAGGAACAAAGAAAGTAAGTAACTTGCCTAAGGTCACATTGGCTGAAGGGCAGGTTTGTTTGAATCCAAAGCCCATGTTGGTTCTAACCACATCATGCTACCCAATAACTAATGCCTAATGGCCGGAGTCTTCAAATTACGGCCCGCGGGCCACATGCGGGTGTTTTTGCCCATTTGTTTTTTTACTTCGAAATAAGATATGTGCAGTGTGCATAGGAATTTGTTCATAGTTTTTTTAAACTATAGTCCGGCCCTCCAACGGTCTGAGGGACAGTGAACTGGCCCTGTTTAAAAAGTTTGAGGACCTCTGCCTAATAGTGTAAGATTCAGTTATCAGAAAAATCAGCTTTAGACCAACTCATATCCTGATATCAGATCAGTGAGATTCCATGAAGAGCCTCAAGGAGTATAACATATATTGGGAGAAATTACTCAGATATTTATCTGAGAAAACACCAGAAATCTGACTAAGCAGTCATGCAGTTACAAGTACAGTGTGGTAAAGTAAAGAAACAAATGTAGGCAGGCTGGCAGGAAAAAATCCAGTATTTCACAGTTGTAATATTCAATGTGAATGCATTAAATTCTCTCACCACATCTCAGACATATAAAAGTGGTAATATTAAAAAAGCAAAACAAAGTTATAGACATTTTATATTCAAAATTTTATAAACTCAATTTCCTGTGCATGTGTGTGTGCTAATCAATCTCGCTCATGTTTCCACATCGTATCTGTGTTAGTATATGATTAAGTACAGGAGAAAATGAGGAAAGATACAAACCAGGATAGAAACATGGGTTACCCAGCATGTGTGTACCTGGAAAATGGTCCAGGTGGCAGGGGTGCAGAGAGAAAGGGAGGTTAGAACAACAACAAGAAACTGCCTGTATGACATGATGCCATTTAGATAAAATTATACTTATCAAGAAATTAGAAATAAAAATATAATATTTTGACTAATATTTACTAATCTGATATGTACAACAGATTAAGAGAAAAATGTAAGACAATATGTATTTCACTAAACCTACCACCCAATTCCTATGTATGTGTATATGTCTATATATTTATATCTGCATTGTTTGTACAAGCAGGAGGCCAATGTGATAGAACACACACTAGCATGTGAATACTGGTGACCAGGGGATTGGGGCAGAGTGGGGCACGATGATTAGCTTTCCTTTTACTCATCTTTGCTTTACTTGTATTAACAGCATTATTTATTTTGTAATTTTAAAAAACACTGAGGAAAAATTTAAAAAGTATATAGAGGTTATGGAAACAAAATGAAGGCCAATAATTAATGACATATATATAATATACATATGTGTAAGCTGGTCTTTGCTATTTAAGAAATATGGTCATTCAGTATGGATGTACCAAGCTCCTACTCTGTGCCAGACGCTGGTTCTAGGTGCCTTGAGTATTCAGAACAACCTTTTGCTTTTCATGTAACTATACTAAAATATGAAAGATAAAATATAATTTATATAAGCTACTAAATCTAGATTTATGAAGGAATAGCCTCTATATGTTAGCCCTTAGATGGTTATTCAATTATCTGCTTAATTAAAAACACCAATAGCCCATTTTTTAAGTGATGGTTCCACGTGCTAAAAATATTTCATATTATGGTGATTTGTCTATTAAATATTGACCAGAAGCAGAAATAAGATTTTCTGTAAAGACTGCTGTTAAATTCTGTAAAGTGCCATTAGTTAATTACAATTTTTTTTCCCACCCAAAGGGATCCTTAATTCTGTACATGACTTGACTTCTTACCAAGTAACTAGTCCAAAAGGTACCAGGGTACAAGTCTGACAGAACACACATTCCCTACTTTAGGTACAACCCATTTCATTTCTTACACATTGGTAATCTATAGTTGGAATAGAGCTCAATGCCAGTTTGCTACATGGTGACCAATTCTACTGCCAATTACAAGTACCTTACTTTAAGTTTATCTGCCTCATTTGGGTCCTGACCTTAAGCTGTGAGTAATTCCAAAGACTTTCTATGAATATTCATTTTGGAGGTTTTTGGGGAACCTCAACTATCTTTTAACGGCTGTGCTCCAGGCTATTCCTCAGGCCAAGGCTAGCTCTCCAAATTTTTATTTTCTTTGCAGAAACAGGCTAAGGGACTAAATCTATAGTTTTTCCAAAGTATAGTCACATCAGCATCCACTTGACAGCTTTTGGATTCTATCATCATGCTTAAAATAAGGCTGACTGTAGAGGCGGGTACAGAATTATGCTCTTTCACCAGTATCCACACTCCTAGGGCCAGCTCACTCAGAAATCAAGCATACAAAATCTTTTTTGTTTCAAAGGATTAACAAATATAACTGACATGGGAAAGTGTTAAACCCTAAAGCCATTTATAGGTTCTTATAGGCTTGATCTCCTTTCTTCATGAAAGCCCCTCTTCCCACTATGTAGGCCTACAGAGGTAACTTAGTACCTATTTCTCTCAGCCTCTGTTCAGCATAGGAATGATTACTTTGGTAATTTTCTCTGATAAATAAAAGGTTAAACTCTGGCTTAAAAAGCAGATAATTTGGCAATTTTCTCACCCTTCATTTCATTTACGTTAGCACAAAGAATTATGCCTCTAATTGGCAATTCAGAAACTGCATTGGCATTCTAGATCCCAAACTTACATCTATAAGGAAAGAGCCTCAGATTGAGAGTATTTGTCCTTATTTATAGAATTTAAACTCACACAACAAATGGGAAATTTAACTCAGTACACATTTCTATTTTAATCAGATAGTAGCTCTACCTCAAAAGAGCTGGGCCTCAAAGTTATATAAATTTACAAAGCTGCCTGTGAGATTCCCAACCAACTTGCCAATTAAAAAGCCTGGGTCTCTTCAAACACATATCCCTTTTCTGAAAAACTGGTAGCCACAGAGGGAAAGAGAAGGGAAATATGAGTTTCTCTGGGAGGGGGTAGGAGGGTCTGACAACAAGGAAAATCAGAACCAAGCTCCCATCTTTATTTATTTAGTGACAGAGTCTCACTCTGTAGCCTGGGCTAGAGTGCCGTGGTGTCAGCCTAGCTCACAGCAACCTCAAACTCCTGGGCTCAAGCAATCCTTCTGCCTCAGCCTCCCGAGTAGCTGGGACTACAGGCATCGCCACCATGCCTGGCTAATTTTTTTTCTATTTATAGTAGAGATGGGGTCTCGCTCTTGCTTAGGCTGGTCTCGAACTCCTGAGCTCAAGCAATGCTCCGGCCTCGGCCTCCGAGAGTGCTAATAAGCTCCTATTTTTAAAGCAGATTCCAATACAAGGTGTGTCAATACTTTCTTCACCCCCAAATGCCATCTGTAACCATAACTGGTTGACAGGCAACTTCAGGGGAATGTCATGAGAATAAATGAATGGCTTTGTAACACATTCTGAACAATGGACTAAAGGGATCCAATAGGCTTGTCAGAGAAGCTTCTGCTCTTCCAAGTTTGGGTATTTGATGGAATATTTCATGACTTGCTTTAATGTAGAGCTAAATGACTTGTCATTTACTTCCCTTATATGCCTCCCTCCCCTACTAATGAAAAAAAAGCTCCCCAGAGCCTGAAAAATTCCAGCAAGTTATTTTGCTGTTAAGGTTATGTACAGGGAATACAATCTCCCCAGACTCCTACAAAATCTTAATTATCAACAAATAAACACTCTAATCTCCAAGGCTGATGGCCAACTATTACTCCATTTGGGTGAGTAAAAGGAGACTGGCCTAAATTGTAGGCCCAAGAGAGATTTGATTCTCCTTTAGTTTACATAGCAAATGCTTTGCTTATAATGATTTTGCTACAATAAATATTTAGAAATAGACTGTTTTCTAGGCTACATTAGAGAATGATCTCAGGTAATGCCCCTTAGTCAACTTTAAAACTAGCAACAGATGACAATCCTGGTAAACAATGAGAAGCTAGAGGATTAGGTTTCTTAGCATACTCACCTTAAATTATTTTGTTGGCCAGGTGGAATGACACTATAGTAAACGGGCATTGCTGCTGTGGGCATAGATCCTTGATTAGACTGATTCGGGAACATAACAGGCTGTTGATAAGTCTGATGGGCAATTCCTTGAGAACCTTGAGGCAGTGAAACCTAAAATTTGAAAGACAATTTAAAGTAAAAACGTTTTTAAAGCTCCACAAATGTTCATGTGTCTAGTCTCCATTAACTTTTAAAGCATCAGAAGTTAGGGATAAGCTAACTTCTTTTGGGCAGGGATACTGCCCAAAAGGCTTTCCTGATAAGTTAGCGGCAGCACTATCACTTTATTTCTATGTTCCCTTGAGTCAGCTATTATTTTTGGCTAAGATTTACCAACTATACACACTGTAGGCTAGATCCATTAGATTATGAAAAGACAAGAGATATGTATCAAAGTAAGTTATTTTGAAAAAAGAAACTTTGTGCATAAGGATGACCATCTGACATAGAAAAAGTAACACAGTTTACCTCAGGGAGAGCTAAGTAAGACTCAGGCAGGGCATCAGTGAGGTATAACGGATCAAAGACAGTAAGAGCTTGGGAGCTTAAGGTATCTAGATGTGATAGCAGCTCTGTCACTTTACTATGTGACATTGGGCAAATAATATAACTATTCTGAGGCTCTTCAGTTGAAAACAACACCTCCATTACAGAGGAGGTATTATCTGCATTGTGAGATAGCACATCTAAAGGATCTAGTATAGTAGGCATTCAGTGAATGAGTCTTTCAATTCTGTTTTCCTTACTATCTACATGAAACTACATGGACATAATGAACTCTTTAATGCTCTACTTTCTACAGTTTCTAAAATAGAAACCACATAGGCATAAAGGGCTCTTAATTTACAAATGTACTATGATATTAGAGTTGGATTATAATGATTTAAAAAAATAAAGCCAATATAAAAACTTGTGCTGATGATGTTAGCAACAGTAACGATAATGACGGGTAATATTACTGAGTACTTACTACAATGTATCAGGTTCTGTTATAAGTGTTTTTGGTGTATTATCTCATTAAGGTTTCCTAACAACCTAAGAAGGTACTTTTATCACTTCTGATTCACAGATGGGTAAATTGAGGTTACATAACTTGCCTAAGATTGCATACCTAGTAAGTAGGAAAATAAGGATTCAAAACTATGCCCTCTGACTCCAGAGCCTCAGTTCTTTAACCATTCACTATTCTCTATACCTAGCTCTGCAATTTAAAAGTCTTGCCTATATGTTTCTGAAATGTACTAGTCCTCTCAAAATATACAGTGATTTCTTAATTACTTTCCTTTTGGCTCATTTATCTCAAATAGAAAATTACTGATCTGATTTATCTAAGTCTGTATAATACAACATATTTCAGACTTTTTGTCTACTAAGGCAGTGTAACTTTCTGAGATTATAATTTCTGTGTGTATCTAAGTTAATACATATGCAAGGCAGATCTGGAACAAATGATATAGCTCAATCTAGATGACTTAAACTATTCGAATAAATTTATGACCAGGTAAAGAAAAAAATACAAAGCACCAAAAACGAGAGAGCGGCTATTACTTGAAAATATACAGCCACAGAATTCACTACTAAGGACAGATGACTTTTCTGGCTTATTTTTTAGATGATCGTTTATCACTACCCAGCTTGTCTACCAAATCTGGTATGGAGCATACTATAAAGCAGGTGAGTCATCCATTGCTGGCCAGAGCAGCACTTCCTACAATTATTCACTCAACGTGAGGATTACATGAAACACCATGAAAAAATAATTTTAATTTGTAAAAATGTATGCCATAGAAATTATAACTATCTTATCTCTGGAATACTTTCAATATCCAGCTCCATTAAAAAGACTATACTAATATAGCTATAATTTATTTAAAAATGACATTTCTCTGACTAGACTGTGAGCCCTTAAAGATCAAAGGCAGAGTTTACTGAATAAAATCTTTAGCACCTAGCACAGTGCCTGGGCATCTAACAGAGGTTCAACATATTGGTTAGAGACAGCATGTCCAGGATTCTTGAGAAGTGATGATTCTAATGTTTAGCTATGGGGGAAACAGGAAGGGCAGGCTCAAGAGCCTAGAGTTTAAGCATGGAGGATAAGGAGTAAAAAACATGGGAGATATGAGAGAAAGGAAAGATGCAAAGCCTAGCTTCATGAGGTATCTTTTCTCTTTTGTAGTTGCCTTCTATCATTAAGAGGCTTCAAAAATGAGGCATACTCTTAATGATCAGTAACACTTTACAATTCCACATTTTAATTTGAATATTCTGAAAGTATATGGAATATGCTTGAATGTCTTCTTAATGAATTTATGCCCATAATTTTCTTTTAAGAGCTAGTTAAAGGTTTCTTACTTCCCAGAAGCTTTCAATATCAAGTACCTAACCTATTCATTACTTTATTTCATGATCCTCTCAGTTACTGGTCTGTATACTACCACCAATTTGTTTACGTGTCCGGATAAAATACATATGCATTTTATATTCCCAACTAGATTATTTTTTCCTTGTTAAGATGAATGAAATGGTCTTTGGAGTTCTTAAAATTAGACTCAGCTATGAAAAACCATGAGGCTAATAAAAAGAACCCACTTGTAAGTTATTCCATAAAGATGAAAGAAGGTAAAACAGATTCTGAAAATGTGTTCTATTATACTAAAGACATCTGCTTATTTATGAATAGGTATTTCCGTTTTAGAACTATATAGATTAAAACCTATGACATTTTAAATACATGACATATCACCCCTTTCTGGGATTGAGATGGGGGAAAAAATCACTCCCAGCATGGGAAACTGTACATATTTCCCTATTCTAAGGAGCTGAAGAACAGAGTAAGACACTTGTTTATATCCATATATCGTTGGGACTATAGACAATGCCAGACAAAACTCACTTGCCAAAATCAATGTGGTTCAGATATTCTAAATATTAATGTGAATTAATATTTAGAATATTCATTTAGTGAATGAATAAAGCAATAAAATGAGGATAAAACAAAGCTGTTATGACTAATATAACTGTTAAGACTATAAATTTGCATATTACAGAAGTGTTTTCCCTCTATTAAAAGGAGAACATAAAAGATATATGGTAGTTATACATTTATTTAATTTACTCAAAATTACCTCTACCCAAAGTAGGTAAAAGAGACAACATACCTGATATGATGGCACTGTGGGATAGGGGATGACTACTCCTTGAATCTGATTTCCAATGCTGTTGGGTTGGCCACTGACTAGGTTCTGACTCTGGGGTTGCTGAACTCCAACTATTCCTTGGTAGTTTTGCTGCTGGTTGGGCATAACTTGATAACCTGTAATAGCACAATGAGTCAAATCCTGCTTTGAATTTAATTTATTTCATCTAATAAAAATTTTTAAAAAATTTTAAGCAAGTACTTTTATGTTCTGAAATGACAGAATTTTTATTAAAGGGCAAATCCCCCAAACGCTTAGATAACATTCAAAAAGTTTACTATGTAGGTAGGTAGGTAACCGAAGTCAACTATACTTTCCCCCTCTAAAATACAATTAAACAAAATGTATGTACAAATATTTCTTCTACAGTTAAGGAAAGTTATAGAGTCACACACTTAGTTATTAACACAGGAAATTACTATTCAGTGTGTTTTACAATCTGTTATGACAACTAGTTTCTGGGGAGCGTGACTGGCTACATGATATGTGGGGCACAGTGCAAAAGAAAAATATGTAGGGCCGCTTGTTAAAAAATTATTACGCATTTCAAGTTGGTAGCAGAAACACATTAGCATAAGCATGGACCCTGTGCAACTGCAAAAGCTGCATGCTCATGAAACTTGCTTTGCTGAGGATAAAAAAAATAGGTGGGGGAAGAGAACCACTTTTACAGAAAGGTTGCATGTTTGAAAAATCACACTAAGATGTGACTCCTTGTATCAGGAATGTGTCAAAGATAAAAGACAAACTGAGTTATTCAGTAATGTTTTAGATTTCCTAAGGGACAACTGTCCCTAAGCTGAAGGCACTGTTGATAATGTAAGTTGTAAATTAAGTGTATAAATTTACCTTTATCAAGTGAACTTATTTATTTAAATAAGAATCTACAATGATAAACTGAGTAGTGAATATGAATTGTATTTTGTGTTCTGATCCTCAGAGAATTTCTTTAGGTACACTAATGAGCTCAACATTCATGGAAATTACTAGAAGCTACCACAAATTCTCTTTTTAAAAAATCAAGTAAAAATAATCATCTAGCTTTAGGGCATTGAAAGGTTTTTATAATGATAAACTGAACTATAGCACTGCTTACACAAACATCAACAGATAAAAGGCAATGAAATTATTTCCCTGATAACAACATAAATATATTTTGCTATCTTATAAATGCCATTTTTCATTTACATCCTCATTAATCCCTAAAGCAACAAAAACTGCAATTTCAAGTATTGATTATAGACAACAGTATCATTGTAGTTATCTGGTATGCTTAATGTAATGATTCTGCTCAAGGACTAAATAATTGAATGAAATCTAGCACCAACTTTCTCTAAAAAGATAAACACAAAGTATATCTGATAACTAAGCACCATATTAACAACAACAAAGTAAAAATGCAGTCACAGTAAATTCTTTAACAGTGAAGATTTTTATAAAATGATGTTACTTCTATGGCAACAGTGCTTTATGGCCATGTTTCAAATGACTTCCCACCAATCTAAATTTGTACAAAAAATGTATAATGTAGTCTTTACCTGTAATACAGTGATTGATAATATGCTGTTTGCTAAAACTTTCTCCCTTGTGAATTTCCTGTATTACTTGAACTTTTAGTAAAGGAAGAGGGCAGAAGAAATTTCTTTCTTGCTTTTTAGTCTAACAATTAACATTCAACCCTATTTTCAGTTCATCAAGTGTTTCAAATTCATACCCAAAATCCCAAACACCATCAAAATATACACTGACAAATTCCCACCCCTAGGAAGATAAAGGATGGGAATGGAAATGGGATTTGAGCATAAGACATTTTTTTGTGTTGGAAGCATCACCTCTCAACACAGACACACACACATACACACACGTATCTACTGTAGCATCAGAATTTGAGCTCTACCACAGACTGGGATAATAGGTAACCCAAGTCAACTATACTTTCCCCCTCTAAAATACATTTAAACAAAATGTGTGTACAAATATTTCTTCTACAGTTAAGGAAAGTTATAGAGTCACACACTTAGTTAACACAGGAAATTACTATTCAGTGTGTTTTACAATCTGTTATGACAACTAGTTTCTGGGGAGCATGACTGGCTACATGATATGTGGGGCACAGTGCAAAAGAAAAATATGTAGGGCCGCTTGTTAAAAAATTATTAAGCATTTCAAGTTGGTAGCAGAAACACATTAGCATAGGCATGGACCCTGTGCAACTGCAAAAGCTTAAAACAGTCTTGGTAGAATAATAGTCTATTAAAACGAAAACAAACAAACAAACAAACAAACAAACTATGGATATCTGGCAGAATTCACTGTAATATAATCTGACTTAAAATACTTTTGTCTTAAATAGTCACATCCCCTTAAGAAACTTAAATGTTTTACATATCTTTTACAGTTTATTCAAATATATGCAAAATTATAGGTTGTCTTAAAAGCTTTGTAAAAAACAGAGCCAATTCATGTGCAAATGTAGTTCTGAATTTTTTATTTACCTTTTTTTGGAGACTCATCTTGGAGGTCTCCTGCCTAAAATTCTTTCTTATGACAAAAGACCTGAGACAGAAGGCTTTCAGTAAATAGCTACAGAAACCATGTCATAGTGGTTTAATGTAGGGTCACTTGGACATTACATCACGGAATTTGTATCATTAAATTTCCAATGGTATTTTAGATTCCTTAATACATCTAACCTCCATTAATGTCCATGCCTACTAATTGCCATACACATACACAAACACCAGGCACATTTTGAAAGTGTGACAACATGAAATCTAAAACTCTAAACATGCGATCCTAGCATCTGATCATTTGTTACAGAGGGTAGTAAAAAGGATACTATGAGCCCCGGATATGTCAGCTGGGCTATATAAAGATGAGTATGACATGGTCCTCGTCTTTGAAATAAGGCATTCTTAGCCATGATACCATATGAAGGTAAGAGTATAAATAGAGAGTGAGAAATTAATCCTGACTGATATTCATGGAGGTGGTGACATTTGAGCTTGGACTTAAAGAAAAAGGAAAAGAACATTCTAGTAAAAACCAAACGCCTGGAAAAAGCAAAAAAATGAATAATATGTTTGAGGAGTAGGGAATAGTCAGGAGTGTCAGGACAAGGTATGGGGGGTGAAAGGTGAAAGATGAAGGCAGAATAGAATACCAGTGGAGAACCAAAGGTTTTACAAGTGGAAGAGGGATGAAAACTACCAGGAAGTTCTAGATTTTAAAGATTGTGAAAGTAGAAGAAACACTAACACTAGTACTTCCTTTATAAGTAACATAAATAAACTAGGAATGTATCCTTGAACAATAGGGGAGCTATTAAAAATAAGAATGCCAAGCACTTTAAAAAGAAAATACCTTCCCTAATAAGTTCTCTTATTAATCCCCTCATGATTTTGTCCATTTTCTTATACCACATCTCATGAAATTCTACAGGTAGTATCAATGTTTTCTTAACAGTCTCTCATTGTTTGTATATGCCTTAAAAAATGCAAATGCTATGCTTTTTAAAAGTAAAGGAAGAGATTTTAACAATCACCCCTCCCCTTTAAAACAACCCACATCAACTATCACACAGCTAAGCCAAAAAGTAGGCACTTAATATTCACACTTAGTGGGTGAACAACAGGGAAAAACTTATTCTTAACAGAATGGAACCAAAACAATACATGCTTCTACACAAAACCAGAAGCTTACTATGTGCTGACAGGCTAAGAATGGTCAGTTTCTCACAGTTCACATTTAGAGAATGGTTTCTCATAAGAAAAGCTGAATTTAAATTTTAAGGTAAGATTAGTTTAGAAGGTTAAATACATTTAATCACCTTTTCATTATAACGTCACTTAAATTCCATGAATACAAATCACATCAGTCTGGAATTCATGGATCACTCATTAAATGTCTCCTAGAAAATTATACAAGTGAATCATAGATCTCATGTAATTAACCTAAAAGTGCTTACTTGATAAGAAGGAATACAAAATTGTTTCAATTTATATCTCATATTGATATAAAGCTTAAAATGAAGATATTATTAGAGTATTTCTAAAAATGTGGACATTAAAAACACCTTTTAGAAAAACCTTATTTGGCTGGGCTCACGCTTGTAATCCTAGCACTCTGCAAGGCCGAGGTGGGCAGATTGCTCATGGTCAGGAGTTCACAACCAGCCTGAGCAAAAGCGAGACCCTGTCTCTACTATAAATAGAAAGAGATTAATTGGCCAACTAATATATATATAGAAAAAATTAGCTGGGCATGGTGGTGCATGCCTGTATTCCCAGCTACTCAGGAGGCTGAGGCAGCAGGATTGTTTGAGCCCAGGAGTTTGAGGTTGCTGTGAGCTAGGCTGACGCCATGGCACTCACTCTAGCCTGGGCAACAAAGTGAGACCCTGTCTCAAAAAACAAAAACAAACAAACAAAAAACCTTATTTGATCATAAAAAAGATTTTCATGGTGGAAAATCTGTAAAACACAAAAAAAGAAAAAGCCATTGTGAAAAAATAATCACTTATAGATCATTACCACTTACATGTTGTATATATGGCTAGCCTCATTTTCTATGCAGAGAGCAACATATATATATACTCATTTACTTTATTTACAGAAATGAGATAATATGACACATACTGTTTCAAAGCCTTTTTCCATGTAATGTTTCCACACCTGATCAATAGAGATTTTACAATCTATGGGGAGGAAGTAATTTTCTTAAAACATATTTATACCTCAAGTTTAACAATCGAAGGATGAAAAAGGAACTCAACTGATCTCTGCTATACTTTCAAGATGAAGGCATCTGTCAAGAAGCTAAAAAGACAAAAGACTAAATATTTTATGACAAATTATGTTAGCTCCCTGTGTCTGGCCTGGAATGCAGCCCAAAATTCCTATGCCTTTTCATTTAAAATACTATATAATTATCACTGCTTCAATGGCACCACAAGGCAATATTGATAGCTAACACTCATACAACATTTATTAGGTTTCAGGTACTGCATGCTTTATGTAAGTTAACACATTTAGTGCTCACAATCTTATAAAATAGGTATAATTATTATCTCCATTATTTAGATGAGGAAACAAGGGCACAGAGAGGTTCATACGTT